TAGCCCAGGCTGGCCTCGAACTCACAGAGATCCGCCTGGCTCTGCCTCCCGAGTGCTGGGATTAAAGGCGTGCGCCACCAACGCCCGGCTCCAAGCCTGCATTTCTAATGGATGCGCAGGGAAAGGTGGCTTCAGTGAGGCTGTGTGTTGCAGGTGACTTTGGACATGTTTTAATTTGAGGGGTGTGTGTGTGCTATGGCACATGTGCAGAGGTCAGAGGCCAGCTTGCAAGAGTTGGCTCTCTCCTTTCACAGAGTGGGTTCCCAGGATTGGACCCCAGTCATCAGGCTTAGAAGAAGACAGGCATCTTCACCCACTAAGTTATCTTACTGCCTTGGAACTCATCCTATTTCCCGCCTGTCCTGCGGCATAGCAAAAGGGAGGCATGAGTCTGGGCACGAGGACACTTCCTCGCCATGCTCTCAGGTTAGAGTGCTCTGTCGATAACGTAACAAGACAGAGGCACTCTGCCTGCTCCCCACCCAGGAGCTACAGAAGCATCTTGTAGAGGCCGCTCTCTCTCTGTGGTGGTCCTGCTTTTGTCGTTGTTGTTGTTGTTGGGTTGTTTTGTTTTGTTTTTCGAGACAGGGTCTCTCTATGTAGCCCTGGCTGTCCTGGAACTCACTCTGTAGACCAGGCTGACCTTGAACTCACAGAGATCCACCTGGCTCTGCTTTCTGAGTGCTGGGACTAAAGGCATGGGCTCCCGTCACCTGGCTGTTGTTGTTAATGTGTATGTGTGTGTCTGTATGAGTGCGTGCCGTGTGTGTGTGCGCGCGCGCGCGTGTGCCTGTGGAGGCCAGAAAAGGGTGTTGGATTCCCTGGAGCTGGAGCTAGAGGCAATTGTGAGCCGTGCCATGTGGGTGCTGGGAACCAAATTTGGGTCCTCTGGAAAAACAGCAAGTTCTCTTTACCACTTACATTTTACGTACTTGAAACATTTTTACATGCCAGGTTCCATTGTTCTCTTTTTTTTCACTACCCTCAAAGAAGGAACTGATACTGTGTCCATTTTAAAATTGAAAAAGGGCAGTCAGATTTCAGCTTATCCAAAGTCAGACAGACACCTAGTTGGAGTGGTTAGCTCTGACCATCTAAGTAGGGCTCAGGGTTAGACCATTTGGCTCTCCCTTTCTCTGTGCCCTGACACACACACACACACACACACACACACACACAC